GGATAGCTCAGTTGGCAAGTCCACTTAACGGCACTCCAACATGTCTCTGGTTCCAGGGGAAGATTTAGTGGGGGGCGGACACCCCCCCAGAAGAAAAAAAAAAGAAAAAAGAAAAAAAGAAAGAAAGGAAAAGAAAAAAATTATCGCCCAAGACGCCTCAAGAGTTTACTTTCGAGAGTCTACTCCGACATCAGTTTAAAGACAGAGTAATTGAGTGATTGTTGCAAGGGGCAGTACCGGTACTAATGTTCAAGGGATCTGGTCAGAACATTAAATATGATATCAGGGATAGCTCAGTTGGCAAGTCCACTTAACGGCACTCCAACATGTCTCTGGTTCCAGGGGAAGATTTAGTGGGGGGCGGACACCCCCCCAGAAGAAAAAAAAAAGAAAAAAGAAAAAAAGAAAGAAAGGAAAAGAAAAAAATTATCGCCCAAGACGCCTCAAGAGTTTACTTTCGAGAGTCTAGAAAACAAAAATTTTGCGGGGAATGCCCCCAAAACCCTTGGTGGTGTTATCTCAAAGGACCTCAATCAGGGCTCCCCTTTTGCCGACCCCCTCCCCTTTTCGGACATCTCTGGATCCGCCCCCGGGTTCAATTCCCGCAGCAATCCACATTTCCTTTGCTGAATTTTGATTTATGCATGCAATTTATTAGGCAGTCAACTTATAGGCCTATTTTATATACTGTAATTTGTTTTGGCAGGGAACAGTGAATGGTTTTGGCCTCAACCGCATGCCAAACTCCTGACGATGATATAATTAATGTCGAAATATTGAATCCGAACACGATGGCGTGAATTTCAATACTTGGAGTAGCCTACGTTATACTTTCGTACCGGTATACGGTATAGTTTATTTTGGTTTAGCGGCATAAACCTTGTTTCATTTAATAGTTAATAGGCCTAGTCACTTTAACGCATACAGTATATGGGTCAGTAATTTTTTAGGGGCATATGGAATAGGCCTACTCATATTATTAGATCTCAAGTTCAGGTTATTTTTTATTTCTCTGATAACTGTTGAATTGAATTGGATACTACTGCTATTAGTAGGCCTAATTAAACTTTAATGACAATAGGCTAATGTTATTATCTGCATAATGATTCCCGTGTTGTGTATATTATGGACATGATAAGCAATTTAATATTGTACTCATACCAGGTTTGCCTATTCTACACGCAACTTCAAATCTTTACAGCCATTAGCTAGATTATAATAAATTATTCGAAACGTTAATATCTCCACCCATCGGATATTATTTAAAATCAGACATTGCATGAGGTACCGCAGTATTGATTATATCTATACGACCAAACCAACATGATTATAATAATTAATGCTTACAGTACACTACGTAGATAGTTCTGAAAAGAATTGTTGTTTGTTGAGAACAATCACTAGCCTAGTTCTTTTCAGAACTATCTACGTAGTGTACCGCAAGCATTTATTATTGCTTGCCATGCAAACCTTTTAGCAATGATTATAGTACTGAATAGGTATGGTCTCTATTGTTTTTTAAGGGAAAATTATGGAAAGAAAATAAGTAAAGAAATACTGGATAGCGTTGACGTATAAATATCATTGCCACAAGACTAAATCGTCAACACAGATTGAATATTGAATTAAACAATAACAATCAATCAACTGATTATTTTAGATATTTGACAGACGTTACTGTTTCTCTCTTGATAGATGCAAATCCAAATTGTACTCAAACAAGCTTCCAACGACCAGTGTCATCATATGCTTCACAGAGGAATCGTGGACACCACTTCTGCGGACCGTCCACAGTGTTCTCAACAGATCTCCTCCAGAACTTATTCAAGAGATCATCCTCGTAGATGACTACAGCCAAAGGGGTAACTATCTGCCGTATTTTCATTTATGAATGAATGAATTTCTATTTATTACGAATTTTTTAATACAGTACAATTAGTGATAGTTCACAATTGTTGACATTTTATGAGCTTTATCTTTTTATCTGTGTATTTTGTGAGTTTATTTAATCATTACGGAATCGAGGAAGAATTCTTTCTCTTTTTGAAACCTTATGTTGAAATTAATTATATCCGTGAATAAATATATTACGTAGGCCTACTTACTATTAATTACATATGGAAAAAGTCGATCAAGGCCAATTGTAGAAATACTTATAAGAAACCCTAGCAACATCTCAGTTATGATAACAAACCATTAATACTGTCATGCCCCGGAGAAAATATATAATATGAATGATGAAAACAAATGACAGTACAGATGAATTCAATAATACCTTAACCATCTAAACGAATAAACGAATCTACGATGAGCAGTTGTGGTAAGAAAAATTGATGTTCACGGCCACCTCACATGAATAAACAGACGACCTTTAGTATACCTAGGCATTCCGGCAAAGATATTGCAGAGAACATTAACACTTATTTCTCAAGTATCTGCAATAAGTTACCACCTTTAGATATTAAAACTTTGTCTGCCTATTTGCCAGCAAGTGAGGAACCTCCACATATATTTGTAGGGCAAGTGAAAGCTTTGCTTGGCAAGTTAGCTCCAAAAAAGGCAGGTCAAACAGATATTTTTAATTGCCCTTAAAGCAGGTATATTCCCTAGCTTCTGGAAAAAGGCAACTGCCATTCCAGTTCCTAAAGTCAAGAGTGTCAAATCATATAATGACCTTAGATCAATATCTCTCACACCTATACTCGCTAGAGTCTTTGAATCTTTTTTAGTTAAATGGATCGTGGAGGATATTAATGTTAGTTTAGATTCTAGACAATTTGGAAGTGGGAAGAAATCATCGACATCCCATTACCTTATAAGCCTAATTGACACAGTCCTTAAAGATCTTGAGTGTGGTGGAACCTATGTTAATTTGTGTGCAATTGATTTTACTAAGGCCTTTGACCTTGTAGACCATTCCATTCTCATTAAGAAGTTGATCGACATCGGGGTGAGGTCGTCTATAATTCCTACCATTTGCAGCTTCCTCACCGATCGTACCATGAATACCAAGCATGCTGGATGTATATCTACATCTAGTAAGATTATTTGTGGCGTCCCGCAAGGGACAAAGCTAGGCCCTGTGTTATTCTTGGTGCTCATTAATGATGCATGTGTTGGAAGCTGCAGAAGGTGGAAATACGTAGACGACCTCACCCTGGGAGAGGTTGTTAATAAAGGAGCAAGACCCTCAATGCAGGAGATGCTTAATGATCTTAATAATTGGTGCAATGAGAACAACATGACTCCGAAGCCTTCTAAGTGTCATATAATGACTGTAAATGTTTTGAAAGATGTCAGTGTTAATGTAGAGTCCCCCATTTTCAATTTAAATAGCACAAACTTTGATGCAGTAGAGCATATGAAATTGCTTGGTGTCATAATCCAATTTTTTGAAGTGGGACCTTAACACCCAAGATATTGTCCCACGGGCATCAAGAAGACTGTTTGTTCTGTGTATACTAAAGAAATCAAACGTTGTTCTTGATGACCTACTCACTGTTTATGCTTTCTACACTAAATTAGGCCCATCTTGGAATACGCTTGCCAAGTATGGCGTGGTGCTATTACCAATAAAATGGCCAATAGCATTGAGACCATCCAGAAAAGAGCATGTCGCATAATGTTAGGTGCTGCCTACATTACTTATGACAATGCCCTAGAGGTTACGGGTTTACCATCACTTGCGGCAAGGAGAAAAACCCTTGTTTTTTCTTTTGGCAGGGGTTTGATTAAGTCTGACTGTTTTCGTGACATGTTGCCTCCTTGCCGCGAGCAGAAGAGAACCCTTAGGTATAATACAACTAGAACTCTTGATATCCCCAGATGCAAAACTGAAAGATATAGAATGCAAATAATTAAGTCCGGGTTGATTTTAATCCTGAATCATAATAATGTATTTAAAATTTTGAATTAATTGACTTTTTTTCTTTTTAAATTTAATTATAGTAATTTGGTGTATATATTTATATATATATATTGTAATATGAAATTAATTTTTAACTTTTCTAATGTAATTATTTGAATGTTTTGATATTTCTATATGTATTTTTAATTTTGAATTAATTGACGTTTTTGAAATTTAATTATAATAATATGGTGTGTATATATATATATACATATATATATATATATATATATTTGTAATATGATATTAATTTTTAACTTTTCTACTGGAATTATTTGAATGTTTTGATATTTCGATATGTATTTTTCCACCTGACTTGTTTTCCTATGTTGTCTTTATTTGTTGATTGCTGTTGTTTTGTTTTGTGTTTTATACCTTAATGAATAAATAAATAAATATTGATTCATAGCAGTGTAGCAAATCATGCCACGTGTGTTAAGTTACGTTTATCTCACTTGCGAGATGCAGATGTCACGCTCAACTCTAAAAAGTGCGACTTTCATTGCACCGAGGTTAAATTTTTGGGTCACATCATTGACGGTGCTGGGGTTAGGATATATGACGAAAAGGTCACAGCCATTACTAGGTACCCAGTTCCGCGCAACGTCCCTGAACTATGCAGATATCTAGGAATGGTACAACATCTGGGGAAATTTGTCCCAAGATTGGCACACATCAGTGCACCAATGCGACAGTTACTTTGTAGTTCCTGTCTCTTATACACATCTAGATGTGTATAAGAGACAGGTAAATACCTAATTCAAACGATCTACAGACAAGAGAAAATAGTGTCGCCATTGCAAAAATAAAATGCATATAAAATAGAATACAAACTCAGTCAAGCAAAGAAAATTAATAAATCAACGTTTCTTATTTGATTGTAGCAAGATAAAAATTATAACCTCTCAACCTAACGAACGAAAATAATATGATGGATTTATTTAATTTGGACAGAGAAAAATATGAAGGTTCCACATTAGCTTCGGCTGAGATGTGTTGTGATTGGATGTTGCTAGAAGAATGGTTGCTTGGGTGGATTACCAAAGTTCTATTGTTAGGCTTTATTTCTCTATGATTATTGCATGCACAATAGGTCCACGGTTACAACTCCCTTTGTAATAGTCAGTGACTGGCTTCCTGTACAATTAGCCTGATTAGTTATAGTACACATTTTATTGATTCTAATTGGGCAATCTGATTGGGCACTATTGTTCAGAATCTCTGTTCCATACACATGAACAGAACGAAGTAACAGAGAAACCAGACCGGGGAGCAGACTCAAGACAAATAACAAACCAAACTGATTGCTTTAAGACTACACGTAATTTTGTATTGTTTGTTCTGGGTGAGTAGGCCTACAGCATTGAATAGATGTAGTTTTTATTTTTGTTATAGTTAACGTGTACATCCTGATCAGTCTCAGCTATCACACAGTAGTTGCCATAGGTATTACGACCGTACTTGAGTGATATGGTAGTGCTATATTTTAAGTTCATATTTGAGTGGGGTGTGCTATAAAACTCCTCATGTATCCCAACCACAGACCAGTAAGGGAAATTAAAATAACATTTAGCTTGTATTGTTGTGCTGTCGGTGATGTCCTGACCGTTTTGGCCGTGTAACATGGAATTTCAAACACCAACATCTGCTTTCCGATCAACATGGTGCTACATCGTGGTCAAACCGATTCCCGACCGGACAAATGTATAATCCATTTAGGCCTACTTATCTTTCAGAACTTTCAATTGAATGTGTGAAAATATTTGCAGCTGCGGTACAGTATGTCAACGCATGAAGGGAATTTGCATAACACACTGAAGCCTAAAATTAAAGTTGAACCAGGTTAGTTCTATTTTTTAATTTCAGCGTGACCGAAAATGAAATGTTGTATTTGTATGAAGACAATATGTTAATGGCACAGAGATATAAAAAGATTGAAAATTAATTGTTTCTAATCGGATTTGAATATAATAGACACCTCAGTGGCCAAGTTGGTGCTGAATAGACAGCAGAAGGTCGCGGGTTCAAGTCCAGAATTGTCAAAATCGTGCATGATAATTCTCAATCACATTAACATAATTTCCTGCTAATTATTGTTGTAAACGTTACTACAACCTTGTGTTAACTTGTCGATTGGTCTATTCATTTTATTCTCTATTCTAATCCGATTAGAAACAATTAATTTTTTTAGGCATATTTCATTTGCTTAGGCTTCTGTAATAATAATTCCTGACTAGCGACATTGTTTTTTTTTTAAATTATTATTTTCTAGGCCAGTGCAATGTTTTTGATAACTATCCAGAAAGAAAAGATGATTACGGTTTTTTGAAAAATGTTTTGCCAACAATTCCATCAACAGTAAACCCCTTATAAGATCTCAAAAAGAAATTGGAAATAATGATAATTGTATGAAATATGAGGATAACTGCAGAAATGTATTCAGTGAAGAACAATATAAGTTTGACAGTTTAATAGAACATTTGGAAGAAAACAACGAACATTGTAGAGAAACCCATTTAGGTATCAAGATAGAAGAGGCACACTCTCAATGTCAATTTTTTGCCAAGGAATTTGATCATAAAACTAAATTAAGAAAACATTTGACAATACATACAGGAGAAATGCCCAATGAATGTAGGAATTTGAACGCACATTTATGGAAAGTGATAGGAGATAGGCCTACATCATATGAATGTGAACATTGTGGAATGAAGATCAATCAAGGCAAGAGTTTGAAGGTACAATTAACGAAACATAAAGGACAAGTAGCATATGAATGTGAACAATGTGGAAAGAAATTTACGCACAGGAACAGTTTGAAAACACACTTCAGGACACATACTGGAGAGAAGCCATATGAATGTGAATATTGTGGAAAGCGATTTAATCAAAGTGGTAGTTTCAATACACATTTAAGGATACATACAAAAGAGAGACCATATGAATGTGAACATTGTGGAAAGAAGTGTATTACCAGTAGCTATTTGAAAATACATTTAAGGACACATACGGGAGAAAAACCGTACGAATGTGAACTTTGTGGAAAGAAGTGTATTACCAGTAGCTATTTGAAAATACATTTAAGGTCACACGCGGGAGAAAGACCGTATGAATGTGATCATTGTGGAAAGACATTTATAAATTACCGGAATTTTAAACTACATATAATGGAACATACAGGTAAGAAACCACATTCATGTGAACATTGTGGAATGAAGTTTCTTCACAGTGGCGGTTTGAAAAAGCATTTGCCAAAACACACGGGAGAGAGACCGTTTGAATGTGAACATTGTGGAAAGAAATTTAAACAACGTAGTACTATGAAAAAGCATGTAACCATGCATACAGACGAACCGAGTGAATGCAAAGAGTGTGGAAAGATATTTAAGATAAAAGAGTCGTATAAAAGACATATGAAGCTGCATGCAGATGACGTACCGTATGAATGTGAACATTGTGGAAAGAAGTTTCTTTATAAAGGCGTCTGGCAAGTACATTTGAGAATACACACAGGTGAGACTCCATATCAATGCAAACAATGTGGAGAGAGATTCGGTGACATTTCCAACCTCAGAAGGCATATAAAGAGGTGGCACGAAGAAAAACTGGAATTTTCCTGAATCTGAAAGCGGGTTGTACATCCTTCTTGAAAGACAGTCCTACCCACCTTAACTTAGGTTGTACAGTATACCCCAGAAAATAATATGCTGAATAATATAATTTTGATTTATTTAAAAAAAAAAAAAACAAAACAAAACACAAAAACCTTAATATTGAAAAAAAAGTAGAAAGTCATAAAATAGAATAACCTTCAAATCGTATACTCTTTTCTGTAGTCAGAGCACAAAATAGCGTTCTCCGCGATTTACGCGTAACAAATAAAAGCGTCGATTTGGCAACAGAAAGTAATCATTTTTGGGAGAGGGCGTCCTAGTTGTTGCCATAGATCTGAGATAAGGTATTTGCGTTACGCCAAAGTTCGTTACCAAGTACGTTATTATTATTGTTAATAGGCAGTTTTCGCCGCACGACGTTAACTTTAACGTTAGTACACAACATGCAGCGCGATAGCTCAGCCCCTTTTGTAAACAAATCGAAATTTTACGTGCTCGACGTACGTTGATTACGGGTTTGCGCATGAGTATTTCGATTAGTTTACAAAAGGGGCGGAGCTATCGCGCTGCATGTTGGGTAGTAATGTTAAAGTTAACGTCGTGCGGCAAAAAATACCTAGGCCCTATTTATTGTAAATCGACGCTTCTAATTGTTACGCGTAAAGGTAAAATCACGCGGTGTACGCTATGGTCAGAGCGGTCAAGGTTCAAAAGCTTTCCATTTTGCAAGAGAGCGCCGTTCATGCGTTATTATATAATTTTCACGAATAAATCACGGAGAACGCTATCTTATAAAAAGATAAAAAGTAATCACTTTTATAGAGGGCGTCCTGGTTGTTACCTTGGCTGTTATAGAATTTGCACCTCAGATGCGCTGTCTTTAGTTACGATTTATTAAGAACACTCTTTTTTTTTGTAATTGTGTACCGTATTTCTTTTGGACGCTCCTTCAATATTTTGAGTATGCCACTTAAAAAGCGTATTTTTTCCAAATAAATTACTAATGCAATATAAAACGATGTCAAAGTTAAAAGACACTACCTTTTTACAGAATTTGCATGCGGAGAACGCTATCTTGTAATTATATGATCTTTGTAACAGACATGTACCAGCTGAACGTGAATATTGTTAGAAGTGACACCATATGAAGTTCACAGGTACAGTTAAATCATATGTGGCAAAGACAAGCCAAACCAGTCACTCGTCGGAAAAATCAATTTTTAGTTATTAATACAGGGTTTACCAGTAAAATGAGAGCTATAAAATGGTAAAAGAATCATTTAAATCCGTCACTTCGTTATGAAGTTACACGAGTTTAAACATACAGCTGTTTAAAGAAAAATATTTGAGAAATCAGCCTTCAAAGTTTACGATTTCAGGCATTTCTTAGGCAGAAACCATCACCAAATCGTTAAAAATGGTTGTTTTAACATTGAAAATGAGGAAAATAACAGCATAGCATGATGTATAGATATATAAAGGTTAGTTTAGTGCAATAAAATAGATTTCCAAAATTTTGAAATTCCAGCATGTTTCGGCCATTATCTCCAAAACAGGATTTGCGACGAGTGACTGGTTTGGCTTGTATTCTTTTGCACACGTTATACACTTTATATCGTGTAAAATAAAAAAAAAAATAGAGTAATAAGAATTTACATAATAATAATATTAATAATAATATAACTATTATTATTATTATTATTATTATTGTTATTATTGTTACGATTGTCACTGTATATAATATACTATTGTTATTATTGTTATTACTATTATTATTAAATAATAACAGCTTTCTTTTTTTTTTTCTCACATGACGTTTTCTCGTAATTTGTTATTTTTCTTAACATCACATTTTATACCTGTGTACATAAATTATTTTTTAGTGAATGATAATGGTATAATTATTTCTTGCGTGTGAAATGTAATACAGTGAACAACTGTAGAGCTTGATGAAGTTACAGTTCGGGATCGAATGTTCATTTTTTTACTCTTACCAGTATAATTATTGTTCTGAATTTAATTCCTTTATCTGTTGTTTTGTCATATAACCACATTAGCTAAGCACATTGTTGAAATAAAAACAATATTGTGAAATAGAATGTGTCGTTTCTTTTTTTTTCTCAATTTCCTTGTTATGTTTTGCTTAAATAGACCAACGCCACGACGACCGCACCATAATTATGCACCATTCCGCTATGAAAAAGTGCCTGTAGCGGAAATGGAACCTGCAGCCTCTCGCTATGCATTTGAAAGTCCCACCCTTCAATATAACAGCAACAATATAACAGCAACAATATAACAGCAACAATATAACAGCAACAATATAACAGCAACAATATAACAGCAACAATATAACAGCAACACGTGTGTCCTAGGCCCTGATTCGTCGGTTAAGTTTGATCCACAATAAGTAGGCCTACAGATGCAGTAATAGTAAGAGAGTACCGGTATTCCATCGTGAATTTTATGCTGTTGTGTTTATGTTTCACTGCGTGCTACTTTCGGCAAACTGGGTTTCGGCAATGAGATTCATTGTTTTTGAATCGGCAAACTATGTTTCGGCAAACTGGACTTGGGCAATCGGGCATTCTGCAAACAAGGTTTCGACAATCTGGCCAAGATACGAAGTAAGACCATGGAGGTATAAAAAATACCTACTTGGTATATGATTTATACCGAAGTTGTGAAAAGCATCTAATGACCGATAAACGTAATCGTGATAATAGCCTATTCGCACTGTACTTTTTTTTTACCGGACCTACCTGCTGGTAAGTTTTACGGTATATTGGACAATATATAAAAACAGGCTTAGGTCTAGCTATCGCATAGCTAGATAATTTCGTCTCCGTTACGGTTTTAGGCCAAACATAAACGAAGTTCGATTGTATTACATAAAGGGCGCTTGTTCTGGACATTTTTAATAGCCACAGATGGTTTTGCTCGACCTGCCCGTGCGTGATCGTGTCGATCAGATACACATGGTTTTACGTTTCGAAGCTAAATATATCTTTCTTTAAACTGATTTATTTTTATTAAATTTATTTCAATATACACTTGGCAATAGTTAGTACTGTATGTAGGCCTACTCCGTCATCACTTTGAATATTTTTTGTATGGCAAGCTTGTCATCGTTCTATTGTAGTGCCTACGGGTAGTACAAGAGGCCATAGGGTTTTCATAATAGGGACTGAACTTGCCGGCCTATTCTATTTCAGGTATTACCGACGGACAGGCGATCTCGATTTTTTCCCATTTAAGGGCAACACAATTCAATTCAGTAGGCCTACTGTGTAGCACTCTATTATAATACCACACATAATGCTCAGCTAAAGGTGCAATGTAAATTGACGATAATAATTACGGTTAGGCCTACTGTAGAACCCCTCCTTTGGGACGCCCCTATTCAGGGGACATCCCTATTAAGGGGACACCTCTATTAAGGGGATGGGGACACTTTCTGAGTGTTGAAAATGGTCTAATCAATACAATTTAACCCCTACACTTATTTGTAATAATTTATCAAAACAATTAAAGTAGTCTCAAAATAAGAAAACAATCTTTCAAATTTATATTTTGACAACTCTTGAGCAATAAAAGTAACATCAAACTAGAGTTTTTCCCTCTCAGTCGTTAGAATAACAATGTAGTTATCGTAGCAACACAATCTTGTCAATTTTCACTATTAACCATAGGGATTTCATGTTTTGTGTATCTTCACATACCGGTAAGCTTAATTCAACTTACTCAAGTCGAGTATTCTATCTTGTACATCAAATAGAAAGCTCAATACCGGTATTTGAAAAAGAATATTTGACCATTCATGTCTACTTGTATGTTATGGATAATGGCAACGGTTTCTACCTCCGTCGTATGACGCAATGAGTGCCCGGCATGAAGGATATGTGGCCTTAAGGTTGTGGGTTGGAATCGCGTCTTGATTCCATTTTTTTTTCCATTTAAAAAAAAAAACATTCAATATTAAGAATTTTAATTTTGTACAAATGAATAATCTAAATAATAATTTGTTGTGTACAAATAAACATTCTGATTATTTATAAATTTCTATCTTATTAGCTCTTCCAAACAACCCAATATAATAACTTGCGCCTGTACCGTATTTAATCGTGGAGGAACGTTCACTGACAAACAAGGAGTTTGTCGCCACCTCAGCAAGTTTTGACCAACCGCCAGAGAAAAATAACTAACTGCAGTTTGTAAACCGCAGCAAGTTTGTCGCCCTCTATGCAGAATTTGACCAATCACATGCCAAGAAACTTTCTGATGAAAGTTTCCGACAATGTAGTTCAAGGCATGATCTCATATTTAACATCAATCGTTTTTGCATTCCTCATAACTAAAAGAAAAAATAAAATAAATTAAAAAAAAACATGCCCGTATAGTGGTGGTGGGGTGGGGGTCCGACGCACCCACTCCCCAATTCCAAAAGGTTCAATTTCTATTTATTTCACAAAATCGTTAGTAATATATCATGGAATGCTAGTAGTATATTTTGCATTGCATTTTATATTTGCATTGGATTTTAATACCCTGTCTCTTATACACAAGATGTGTATAAGAGACAGGTGTAGCAGCGCCAAGCCAACACATGTCTGTCACAATCAGAGAGTGTCATTTTTGGCCATCCAGAAGTTCCCTATTAACAAAAATTCATTTGGGATGGGAATATACCCTCTCCAACCCTTCCCCCAGCTCGGGCCTACGAGCCCAAGCCAGGCTGTCGGACTACTGAGCCCCCTCCCCTCCCCAGAAAATATATCCGCCACTGGGTATGAAATTTGTTGGAAATTGATCTGCTCCAGTGATTGCAGATTTGAACCATATGAACAGTGCTACTGTCTGTAGGCCTACAGATAGGACATTAAACGTTACTTCTTCGGGTCCCCTAAAAGCCCCAAAATTAATTAAAATTTAAATAAACTATTCACAAAAATTGGTTCGAGAAATACAAGACTCTCAAAATGCTAATTTGTCGGACTTCCAGCAGAAGCCCTGAGTGCTCCCCACCCAGCCTGGTCCACTTCACACTCGCAAAAACGCACCATCAAAAATCTTGCCTCCGCTCACTGAGACGGTAAACATGAAAGAACCAATCCTTTGTATAAATGAAATAAACATTCACGTCGTTATGTAATAATCTTTTTCCCCTCAAGGTAAATGGTGAAGTATAATTAGGCATGTTCAGACAAACATAGATTATTAGGGAGGGCCTATAAACCTATATTATTTATTTACTTTAAGAACGTACGCCTTTGGAACGGCGGCACACACAAGAGTGGTGCTTTCAGCTAAAATTTCAAAAATATAAAATTAACTATGGAAGGAGCACACTTTAACACAATCATTGATAAAATATGCAAATAAACACGGAAAATACTGTACATACAAAATAAGACTACAGATTAAAAAATTATACCATTGAAAATTAAAGGTACCAATATATTCTCAATTCCTTATTCGGAAACGGCACTTTCACAACACTCGTCTTCAGTGCGTCAAAAAAGAAAAACAAAATGAATAAAAAACGTTAATAAAAAAGAACGTAACAGAGTAAACTAAACTATGAAAAAACGTCATATAAAACCTCCCTGCCTTCATCACCTTTCAGATAAAGCCCATCACTAATATTTATACTGCATCACCCGGCGCACCCTGCACATACCCCAATTTATTTTTCTTTTAACATAACAAAAGGAGAAAATGAAAACTAAACAAGTCAATATAAAAGGCTGTCTTCTGTAGAAGACCCAAAACTGACATCTGCGTAGATAGATAGTCCCCCCGTTGTAGGACACCCTTCGCGTTCTTCTGAAGCCATGAGGGTGTTCTTGGCGGCCCTCAAGGTCGAAGACGGTAAACATGAATGAACTAATCGTTTGTATAATGAGATAACCATTCAGATTATGTAATACCTTATCTTTTGTTTTTTTCCAGAGGAGAAATGGGGGAGTATGCATATTTTATTAACAGGCACGGATCCAGGGTTTACCCTGACACAGAGGGTTCTGTTGTTGGAAGACAAATTTTAGACGTGGGGTTGGGAGTTGTCTTGGCGTCCTCCTTCGGAATGATGATGATGATGAGGATGAGGAGGATGAGGAGGATGAGGATGATGATGATGATGATGATGAGGATGATGATGATGAGGATGATGATGATGAGGAAGAGGATGAGGAAGAGGATGATGATGATGAGGAAGAGGATGAGGAAGAGGATGAGGAAGAGGATGAGGAAGAGGATGAGGAAGAGGATGAGGAGGATGAGGAGGAGGATGAGGAGGATGAGGAGGATGATGAGGATGATGATGAGGATGATGATGAGGAGGATGATGAGGAGGATGATGAGGAGGATGATGAGGAGGATGATGAGGAGGATGATGATGAGGATGGTGATGAGGATGATGATGAGGATGATGATGAGGATGAGGATGAGGATGAGGAACTTTAGCTAATATAACAGGCTCCTGTGCAAGAACAGACCCAACCCTTTGGTGTGAACCGTCAAACGAGACCCGTAGCCAGAGGAATCTGGAGACATTATCATGTAGTTATAAAAATAAAAATATATACCTTCATGACATTATAATTACTGTATTAATATTACGCTTATTAATTGAGTAGGCTATCTACTCAATTTCTTAGTGTTCACATACCATTCATGCCGTTGCTCTTCTTCTGATTCCAAATTCATTTTCAGCCTCTTAGTGCTCGGTGGTCACTTTTGACTTACTTTTTAGATGTATTAAACAAAGTGTGTTCGTAAGTTTTAAGCTCTAGATCTAGAATCAGGCTACCCACTCTATTAAAGACTTTTTTCCCAATTTTTTTGTTTAGCATTCGTTAAAATAATGAACTAATTCGGTAATTCATTAATAAAAAATTATTAATTAAAATATAGGTTTTCGCATTAGTGTGATTTTGAAATAAGGTTACAAGAATCAACGCACATATATATCCTCCATGTGATTGATTTTTGATTAACTGATTAACCATACTATTCCATCATGACAATACATTGTGACATAAAATCAAAATACAAAAAAGAAAAAAGAAAAAAAGAAAACATAATACAGTAGCCTACATTATTATCAGTACATTGTGCAGCCGATTTAATTAGAGTCACTTTTTAATTACCTTAAAAACATTATTCCATTTATATTATTTTGTCTCTATTTGGGTCTTTAGGTGAGGTTAGGTGGCTTTTTTTGACAGAGTTCGCCAATTCAATCACTTTATGTTTTTATAGATATTTTGTCTCTCACTCTGACATCTGACCTTCGCCACTGCGAACGATGCGAAGGTCTGGATCTGACCTTCGCCACTGCGAACGATGCGAAGGTCTGGATCCGCGTCTGACAATAGGTAACTTTACTGTCCTTCTCGTAAATATAATAAAAGTAATCTTCCATTAACAAATGCTTACAAAAATAGTAATAGGCCACAAGTGTAAAATCACTCACATGTTATTTATTTATTTATTTATTTTAAATAAGAACACATTTTATAAGAGCATTGAGGCTGAAATTGCCTAAGAATTCAGAACAAAATGAGAACAAATTGAGGCTAAGGTAAAAAGTAAAAAAAAAAAAAAAATAAAAACCAACAAATCCGAATCTGTAGCTTTGAGCAGAAGGTGAGTATAACACAGTATTACTGCTCTACAATATTAATTTTCTTATGATTATAAAGTGTATAAAATAAGAAAAAAAAATTTAAGAACATTTTAAACACTACCATGATGGTGTGCAACCGTTTCAATAGTGTTATAACAACAAATTAATTTATTAGAGCGCCATACTCATAACAACACCTGTTCTCCCTATAACTGCATACTTCTATTAGATTTATACCTCTTTGATCTAGTAAGGCCGTTTCTTTATATATTTTATGTTTAAATGATGTAATAAATGATGTTTATTAATAATGTTCATTATCCTTGTTTCACAGAAGGCTGACCGACGACGTCGCGACGTTGTACCTGAACGTCGGAAACAAAAACAATTCTGTCCATCAACACGTTGGTAGAAATAGAATTAAACGAAATAATATGTTATTGTTGTTACTAAAACCTAGGCTTAATTATTAAATTGAACTAATAGAGAGGACTTTATTGGTAACTTTTGAACTTTAAATATGCCTAATGGGATTGGCTAATCTTTACTTTTCTATTTTCATATATTTTATGTAGCTGACCTGGGCCTAAATGATGGCATTATTAATTATAAATCCTTTTTTTTATGAATACTTTATTGCGATATAATTTAATACTGTATAGATATAATGGTTTGTTAGACCATGGAGGAAATATATTATGGTTAGATGAACTGAACTTTCGTTTTTGATTGGACAGTAAAGTTTATCATCCTAACTTATGATTGGCTTATTGTGTGCCTGATGGTCACATGACCGCAAACCACGCCAGTCGCGTACTCAATGTTGTTTGGATGTTTAGGTCTAGGGATGTAGGCCTCTCTGATGGAATTTCGATTTATAGGCCTAGGCCTAGTGAATCACCCAAACTACGGCTATGGTGAGGGTTACAATTATTAATACTACTACTACTACTGTTAATCCTAGCCTACTGGAGCCTAATAATGCCAGGCCCCTGTATTGCATGTTGTTTCCTCTAGGCCTGCCCTAGGTGCCTCAGGTAGGCGAGGAACTAGCCTAGTAGTAGTAGGCCTAGTAGTAGTAGTAGTATCATTGATGTACAGTATGTATGAATATGATGACCAAAACCTCCTAGCTTGCTTGATCACACCACCAAGGTTAAGTCGTCTTGTAATTTGTAGATGATAAGCAGAGGGCCTATACAAAGCAACTACAAACATCAAGTAGGCCCAGGCAGTTGCTAGGCCTCGTAAAATTTGCATAAGCCATAATAATTAGTAATAATATTAATATTAATTAGGCCCTAGGCTTAGGCCCAACATACAGTGAGTAAGTAGCCTGTAGCATATAGGCTAGTAGTAGTAGTACTAGTAGTAGTAGACTAGTTGCCAATATGGCCTATATAGGGCTTAGGCATAGTCATACTACCATAGTCATCCATAGAACCCAAGGTCATACTACCCTAGCCTATGTTATATTTTGATTTCAAGGAACTGTCATAAAAGGAAGATATATTAGGCCTAGGCCTGGGGAGCACTGTTGGACTAGTCAAACCCCCAGGGGTGTGCAGCAGCCACTCCAAAACATGAGACACTTGCGCTACCTATTTTACTGAAAATTGTTAGGGACTTAAACTACCGTTTACCAGAATCCGGTGTCAGTTAAATTACTATTACAGCCATTTAACCTACCAAATTAAATAAACTTGTATTGTACTAGTTCTCAATCGTGAATAAGACCGCGGTTGTGTCTGTTCGTGATCCCTACTGTTTGTGGCTATGTATCAACAGTTGGTTTAGCACTGAAAAACTTTAGCAAAAAACCTTTGCTTAAATCGTGTGAAAAATTACGCTACTTTGATAAGGGACGGGGCAGGGACTTTAACTACCAATTTTACATAGGTATTTCCCACACTTGTGCTACCAAGTCTTCGCAAATATACCCTATACAAGCTGATACTCTTCCATAAATTCCCATGCTTGTGCTACCAAGTCCTCAAAAATACCCCTGTAAATGCGGCACCTATCCATATGGAAATATTTATGAGTGAGCCTCCCGGGTATGTAGGCCTCATTGGCCTGTCTCTCTAATAACAAGCCATAGGCCTATGCCAGTTTCTACATTTACAAACAAGTACTTACAGAAAGTAGGCCTATGCATATTGGAGGTATAAAATTAATAGTGTGTACTGTAGGTAGGCCTAATTACAGTAGTAATACTGCACTAAAGATATTACCACTCTACTACTATTTTACTCAGTCAACGGTGAGTTTTTTTTTTTCTAGTGTCTTTGTTGCAGCTGCTTTGCACAATACAATGTGTGAGCTACCTGTGTCTGTAAATATTATTATGGTCCCTAGAATTTCCTCTAATATTTGAAGGAAAATGATTCTTTATAATTTCTGGTAATTAAAAACTCATTTTCATTGATGATGAGTTGTGGATTGAATAGCACGAAACATGTTATGACATATGATCATTAAATGTCAATAATAATTAAGCAAGCATACACTACTACCGACAGATTTTTTGCATAATTTGATATGTGCCTATATATAGTTATTAGTATTCTTGTCATGATTATAATATAATAAGCTTATTTTCTTATGGCTATGTAAACTAAGCACATGTGTTGTTATAGCTAGTTTACTATGTTCCTTTATTAGTACAGCCAGCAAAATTAACATTGTGTTTCGAACAATCAATATATCTTTAAGGCAAACATTGATTATTAAGCTCCAAGTTATTAAATTCTCTTCAATGGCTAGTAAGAACAAAGGAATGCATTATGGTCCATGGGTAGACCAGGAGTGGTACTGTTGGCTACAGTGCTCCCTTTTCAGTTTGATGATTGTAGGTTCAATCCAAGTTACTTGCCAAGATTCAAAATGACTTGTTAGCTTGAAGAAATTTTATCATAATCACATTATCATATTTTATAAATTATGCGCATAGCCCCTAGGTAAAGCAGTCCAGTGCTAAACTCGGCCTACCTAGATCTACTCTATTATGGGATATTATCAACCAACCCTACAGTAGCATTATTTATAATTATATTTTTTTTGTACTGTTACCAAAAAAATAAAGTTTTAATATTTCATATCTCAAATGGATTAATAGTAATAATATGATTTTCTTCAACAACTAATTTCTTCAACATGTAGTACAATTCACTGAGTTATATGAACAATCAAATGATAACATTTATTGATTCAATATAAAATATAGTAGAAACAAAAACATTTACTATGGCCAGGATGCAGCCTGAATTAACAGGCTTGCAGGTAAACTCTAGCAAAACCCCATTTAATTTCCTCAAAAATGTCTTAATTGAATTTATTGTTGAATAATTTATTAAAGTAAAGGTATGTGCAGGTACTAAAGGTACTTGAATGAACTCTCACTTTGCCATTGACTTTTACATAACATTGGCTATGACCTTGTATTACCTAAATTTCAAGAAGACCAAATAACAGTTGCACCTGGTGCCTTTGTAGCTTTCCTCGCTGCACTTATAATATTTTATTATTACTTTAACCATGAGTTTACTAAAGCTCTAATAATAACACTAATGCAGCACATTTGGTATATTGCTTGTGACACTGCGTTTTCTAAGAGCTTGGCCAATATCGTTACCGTTCTCGAGTTGAAATGAAATCTTAATGGATACACAATCAATCATAGAGAAATCAATGTGCAGAGGATCTCTGTTCCCTGGGGAGTCTTTTAGTCCTCATGCAGCAATTTAGGTTGGCACAGATTACCTCAAATACCGCAGTTAACATCTTCCTGTATCTTGCTAAAGGCTTTTTTACCCTGAAATTTTAGTCATATTCATTCCTAGCCTAGAAAATAAAGCCGGCTTGCATTTCATAGTTAGTATACTTCCTTGCCTTATCAAACTCTAGTAAAACCCCACTAATTAATTTTCTAGAAAAAAGATTTCAATTTTATATGCAGGATGTAACCTCGCCCGTAGCACTTTTATGTAGAATGTTGTCATTCTCTTCAATTAAAATGCAAATAATTTTTGTGTAGATCTTTCCTATGTTAAGATGATGGGTAACTGAGCAACTGTACACATAAATTTCCTCATTTCATCCATGTCACGTACTCCTAAATAAAAATTGAAGACAAGTTTGTTTGACACAAAAACACGGAGTGACAAGTAGCAATAAATTTTCCTTCATGTCGATGCTTTTGGCAGAAACATTAGTCAAATGAGAAGACAAAATTTTAAATTTTTTTCCCACCTTTTTAACATTTTTTTCTTATTAATGTGCTATATTTATAGAGTTATACCCTTTCAGCTTAGCTGATTAAGGGCCCTGATAAATGAACAAAATCAAAACTATAGAGCCGGGTAAGATGTACGACCATCGCGCGACTAAACCAACTCTACTCATTGTGAGTGCTAGACAACGTGATGCTGTCCTCTGATCGTCCTTTTAGAACAGTCTATTGCGTGCGCTTCGTCGCGTTGTGCTCTTCAGAGAATCGCATTTTGCGACGACCATCAGACGCAGCGAGTGCCTGGCTTAAGCTCTGTCATAAACTCATAAATAAATAAAAAATAAATAAATAAAAATAAAATAAAATAAATAAATTAATAAATTAAATAAATTAAAATAAATAAATAAATATTCATTCATAATGTTAACCTGATTTCCCTCACTATTGTAATCATTTTTCTTTATTTTGATCCGGTTTTTCCTTTCATTGTAAAGCTCTTAGAGGTTTCTTGCATTTTGCGCTATATAAGAATAAATTTATTATTATTATTATTATAACGAGGCAAAGGATGTTAATTAATGTATAAATAAGCTATCACCTATTAAGGATGTGTTTGGATTTCTGCAGGAGTTAGGGGTTGCTGCTAAGTTCTGAAATGAACTTCCCATGTCAGGAGTCTTCTTCACTCGCTGCTGTTTAAGCAGAGACTAAAATCACACCATTTTCTTTCTTTCTGAATTGCCTTTGTTTTACTGTAAATTTTCGCTTGTTGTTAATAAAGGCTAGGCCAGATGTCAACACTATTTGAGCGCTTGTGATCGAGTCATGTACAGTACCAGCTAACTACTATCTGTTGGTGGTCTCGATTGCAGGTGAACGGTGTGATGGTGTTGGTTCCTCCATGTTAGCCCGTTTAACATATCATTTTTAGCATCATAGTTACAGTACCCAAGTTGAGCTACTAGACAGATTTTGCTATTTTGTTTTTTTCCTCTACAGTGCATAGAGGTTGTGTATGCACTACAGTATATACACTATAAGTCTTCAACAGTTACCATTATTGTTATGTTGCATTAAAATATAAAAAAGAGGGGTGAGGGGAAGGGAGGCATAAGTGGAAACATGCTGTTTTATGTCTTTATACTGTATGGTACTTGTGTAAATTGAAAAAATATAACATGTTGACAGCATTTTCCTTTTCATGCAGCCTACTGTACATTATCAGTTTTATAATTTTATTTTAAAAATGGCATGCCAATTTTTTATCTTACTAGATATATTACATCTAAGCCGACTCAAAAGAAATGCCATGTCATTAATTTTCTTAAAATTTTGCATGCCATAATCTTAGAAAGTTATCTTGGCACTTAGCATTAGCACCCCATAGCAGTAAGCGTACATTAATGTGACTGAACTACACACGTCCGTTCCCTCGAGAGTGTACTTAATCTTGTGGTGTGTAATGCAGTGTAACCGATGTGGTACATGAAACATTAGAACAATTGCCGCCTACCCATGATCCTTTTACAAAGTTAAGTGCATTTAATTAGTAAGGGCAAGGGTATGGTTGAGACGATTTGATGTAACTATTAGTATGCCTCTGGCATTAAGAAAATTCTTTTGTGCCTCGTATCAATGAAAATTATTTTTATAAAATGCCATTAGCATCAAACGATTAAAAAAAGATATTTAAAAAAAATGAATGTCTTCTGGGAAATCTAGCATTTTTTCATTTGCCAGTCATGCAGTCACAGACGATTCCAGGCCCTGGTAGAGCTATTTAACGTTATATTTTGTATCCCTAGTTTACAATGTTACTTAATGAATAATTTTAGTCCTATCCCCATCATGATTCGAATCGAAATATTTTGATTAATAAATACCACTTAGCTCTGCCATCTATGGCATGAGGCCAGGTGGTACA